CTTGGAAGGCTGAGGCGGAAGGATCGCCAGAGCCCAGCAGGTCGAGGCTGCGCTGGCTGGAAGTGGCCACTGCACTCCAGTCTGGGTGACCGAGTGAGACTCCAACTCAAAATAATAATAATAATAATAATAATAGGCCAGGTTCAATGGCTCAGCCTGTAATCCCATGCTTTGGGAGGCCAAGGTGAGTGGATTGCCCGCGCCCGGTTCGAGACCTGCCTGGGCAACTTGGCAAGACCTCATCTCTACAATACATCAAAAAATTAGCCGGGCGTGGTAGCGCACGCCTGTAGTTCCAGCTACTTGGAAGGCTGAGGCAGAAGGATCACCAGAGCCCAGCAGGTTGAGGCTGCAGTGGCCAGGAACGGCCACTGCACTCCAGTCTGGGCAACAGAGTGAGACTCCAACTCAAAAAATAATAATAATAATAATAATTCAAATGATAAGAACATTTTTTGTATGAATGTTTTTAAGGCACTTGATATATATTGCAAAATTGCCCTCCAGGAAAGTTGTACCAGTTACACACCCACCAGCAATGTTCACTTTCTTTTGTAATTCAATCTAATTTTGTTTTAGTCTGCTCATATTTCTAATCTTGTTATATCCCTTTTTATTATTTCTTTGGGGTTCCAACACCTCCCAATTTAGTGTTTTCATTGAATTTCATTAGCAGCTGTTTCATTAGTAGCCCAGAAGAAGGATTAAAGTGTTAACTAGGATAGACTCTGACAAAAACCTGTAAAAATATGTTATTATCTTTGTACAAATCCTATTTAATCAAAGTTCCTCAGAAATCTGTCACTGGTGCTTATCTCAAGGGACAGATCTGGCCACTGATGATATTCTAGACCTTGGTAAGTGTGGTTCTATCTTGGTGGAAATGACATATTCATGATATGCCTGGATTCCTGTCATAACAAGTTCTAATAAGGTTTTACGTCATCTCACATCAGTTTACTGCTCTTTGCTTTCGCCTCTTCAACAACCAAGGAATCTTCCTTTAGTTTGGTTCCTTGATTACTTCACACACACACAATTGTCATTTTCCAAAATATACAGCAGAGTAGGTATATTCTAGAAATATTATGATCTTTTTTCTTTACTTGCGTCCCATTTTAAATGCACTAGGAAGCTAGGCGCGGTGGCTCACGTCTGTAATCTCAGCACTTTGGGAGGCAGAGGTAAGAGAATTGACTGAGCTCAGGGATTTGAGACCAACCTGAGCAACATGGTGAGACCTCGTCTCTATAATAAATCAAAAAATCAGTCGGGCATGGTGGTGCCTGCCAGTGGTTCCAGCTACTTGGAAGGCTGAGGCAGAAGGCTCTCCTGAGCCCAGCAGGTCAAGGTTGCGATGGCCATGAGTGTGCCACTGCACTCAAATCTGGGTGACAGAGTGAGACTCCAACTCAAAAAATAAATAAATTAGTGTATATATGCACTAGGGATATCAACAAGGTATACTTTTGGTAAAGAATCACTCCTTTAATTTGTTTATTTTTAATTTTTTTATTTTTGAGTTGGAGTCTTGTTGCCCAGGCTGGAGTACAGTGGCATGCTCATGGCCACCACAGCCTCAACCTGCTAGCCTTAGGCAATCCTTTTGCCTCAGCCTTCTCAGTAGCTGGAACTACAGATGTACGTCACTACGCCCAGCTAGTTTTTGTCTTTTATTATAGAGAAAAGGTCTTACCAAATTGCCCAGCTGGTCTCAAACCCCGGACTCAGGTAATCCTCTTGCTTCAGCCTCCCAAAGTGCTGGGATTACAGACTGGGTCACCATGCCTTGCCCCTTTTTTAAAAATACAAAATGTTACCTATTAAATTTGGTTTATAAGGCATATACATATTCTCATTTTTTAATATCTCTACTAATAGATGATTAATGAAAAATATTGAGTAATTTTTTTAAAATCAATACTTAATGCTTTAGAAATAGAGAGATATTCAACTCTAACATAAATACCCCACTCAGTTCCTGGACTTACTTCTTTTAAAAGATAATCTATAAATAAATCACAAAGTTGACATTACTCACTGTACTGTGATCATTTTTTCTGGGAAAATTTTCACAACTGTTCTAATATAGATTGCCAGTTATCAGTAGTTGGAAATGCAAGTCAACTTTTAATTATGCAGAGGCTGATTATTCAGACTACAAATTGTTCATGCCCTCCTGTACTGCTCCTTCCTGCTTCCTACCTTTTAGCATTTTCACTGCTCATTAGCACATATACCAAAAGGTAGGCATTGGACAAGGGGAAGAAAGGAGAGAAAACAAAAATCAGTTAAGCACTTAGGAGAAACTCTGATGAGAGATTTTAATACAATTTGTAGAATTATTGACTAAAATTGAGTCATTTGGATTCCCTGTGAACTGTATTTACTTGTTCTGTTCTTGTCCTCCATAGCAACAGATAATAGAATTGTCTGCAGAGAAACAACATTATTCCTATATTTAATGTTTTCCTTTGTGGAACATTTTCACATGATGGTTCATATTTTCTTTATCCATTACATTTGTACCTAGACTACTTATTTCTTTGGTGAACGGTTTATTGAGATTCCTGGCATATATATGATAATACTACAGTTATCTGATAGTTTTACGGTCTTCCAGAAAACTGAATGTTTCCCTTTAAATACCAATGTCTTTCATCTTTTAACTTGTTTTGCTGAAAACACAATGTTCCAATGTTCCTCTTACTTAAACCAAGGCTACTGAACATAATTTAAGCCTTGCCGGGTGCCCAAGGTTATCTTTACTATACATTCTCCTGGGATATGTATGACTGTGACAAAAACCCATGCAGGTAGAGCCTCTGGTTAAGTGAAATGTTACAAGTGTTGTAAAACTTGAATGGCACTAGTGTTTTCGTTTCCCCTAAGGCTGTTATTATTATATGAGTTTTCTGCCTGTTTCTCTAGTCTGTCACCTGTCTCTGTTGCCTCTTATCTTCTCCCCTTATTAGTTCTCTGCTTTTCACTGTTGAGGTCTGAGAAACTGAATAACCAAGCTGGTTAGAACTGTCTAAAATAAGAGCAGCCAGGTACCGTGGCTCATGCATGTAATCCCAGCACTTTGGGAGGCAGAGGAGAGAAGATTGCCTGAGCCCACGAATTCTAAACCAACCTGGGCAACTTGACGAGACTTTGTACAATAAATCAAAAAAATTAGCTACCTGGAAGACTAAGGCGAAGGGATCTCCTGAGCCCAGCAGGTCAAGGCTGCAGTGGCTGTGAGCATGCCACTGCACTCCAGCCTGGGTAATAATGAGACTTCAACTCAAAAAAAGAAACAAAATAAAATAAAGTGAGGTGAAATAAAATAAAAAGAGCAAATAGGCCTGCATACAAGTACAAATAGCTCTCAAATGAATATAAGTGCATGAATTTGGGTGCAGAAATAGCATCACTGCTTAGATGCCTTTCTCTTTCTCCCTTAATAATGTTTAATTATGTAGTTAAAGCCAGGCACAGTGGCTCATGCCTATAATCCCAGCACTTTGGAAGACTGAGGCAAGAGGATCACTTGAGCCCAGGAGTTTGAGACCAACCTGGGAAACATAGCAATACCTTGTCTTTACAAAAAATTTAAAATTAGCCAGGCATGGTGGAACACACCTGTAGTCCCAGCTATAGGGGAGACTGAGGCGAAGGATCACTTGAGCCCAGGAAGTCAAGGTTGTGTTGATCCATGATTGTGGCACTGCATTCCAGCCTGGACCACAGAGTGAGATCCTGTCTCAAAAAAAAGCGTTAAGTTGCTGGTTAATTGTGTTTCAAAGAAATTGTCTGGGACATGAGACTGTCATGAATAAAGCATATATAGAGAGTTTTTCTTCAGTGAGAACCACTGCTGACTGAGATCCCATGTAGGTAGGACAAAGGGCAGAATGAACATGTGGGAATAAGAAATATTATTTTTTTAAAAATACATTTAAGACGGCTTAAATATATAAAGTTTAGGATAGTAATTAGGTCATCAGTCTTTTTTTTTGTTTTTTTGAGTTGGTGTCTCGCTCTCACCCAAGCTGGAGTGCAGTGGCATGCTCACGACCACTACAGCCTCACCCTGCTGGACTCAGGCAATCCTTCCACTTTAGCCTTCCAAGTAGCTAGACTACAGGCATATGCTACCACGCCCAGGTAATTTTTTGATAAATTTTAGAGATGAAGTCTCACCAAGTTGCCCAAGCTAGTCTTGAACCTCTGGCTCTGGCAATCCTCTCACCTCGGCCTCCCAAAGTGCTTGGATTATAGACTTGAGCCACCGTGCCTGGCCAACTAGGTCATCATTCTATTAACCAACCAAAGACCGGGTAAACAAAAGCACCTAGACTATAAAAGTCTTTGGGAAATAATCTCGACAGGTACTACTCTGGTTTCTATGTCCTCCCTCATGAACATTATGAAACTGTCTAGAAAGCTCCCTACTGATAATTCCTTTTTTATTACTTTTTTATAAATCCTAATCTTGGGGTATTTTGTGGTATAGACACACAATGCTTAGGTTCCAGGCTTCTGGTGGACTTTTCCTGTGTTCATTCACTTTGCTTCCTGGGGACCAGAGCTCACTGTGAGTCATGTTCCATCTGATTTATATTGGATCTGGCTGTGGAGCTATGAGTCAGATGGGCTTCGGGCCCAGCTGCCCAGCTCATCCTCAGAGGAATAGATGGCAAGGCCAGGACTCATGTCCTGACACATTTTTCCTTTTTCCTCTTGCACCTTCAGGATCTAAAAAGAACATCATTACCGACAGCAGGCAGGTACGCCTCGCCACAGGCATCTTCCCTGCTGTCAGCCTCTTAAACCACTCCTGCAGCCCCAACACCAGCGTGTCCTTCATCAACACTGTTGCCACCATCCGGGCATCACAGCAGATTGGAAAAGGGCAAGAGATTCTCCACTGCTATGGTGAGCCATCCTTCCTCACTGCTGTCCTACCCTGCTCCAACAGAAAAAGAACAGGGCGAATAAGAATGAGCAAGCCACTGGGCAGGCGACTTCACTTTGTCTAGTGTTTGTTTCCTGGAAGCAGTTCATGCTTAGACCAAAAAAAGGCCTTCTCACTGGGCCCTATTGTGGCTAACCTATGTCTCTCACTACTTAATCACTATAAACTTCCTATTCTGAAAATGGGCAAGGAACAACTCAACTGCTTGACTTCTTTCTCTTTTTGTCTCAGCAACTTGGAAACTTATTTTAGTGTCCATTTCCACAAATGTTTGAGTAAAAGTTAGCTGTCACATGATAAATAATTGTCCAGGCCCTCTGCTAAGCTGAAGGTTTTTAAGTAGTGTTTGACTCTCTCTTGCTTTAAATACTAGCTGAGGATGATCTCTTTCCAGGACCTCATGAGAACCGGATGGGTGTTGCCGAAAGGCAACAGAAGCTGAGGTCTCAGTATTTTTTTGACTGCAACTGTCCAGCTTGTCAAACTGAGGCACACAGAATGGCTACAGGGCCCAGGTGGGAAGCATTCTCTTGTGACAGGTGTAGAGCCCTCATGCAGGTAAATTTGTCTTCTCTCTTCTCTTCTCTGCTTTTCCTAGAGGTCAGTTATCCAGTCCAAAGGAAGCCAGCAGGGAGTTACAGGTGCAGAGAGCAGTAATATCACTTCCATTGTAACCAATCATTCCCATACATTGGTTACGCTTACAAAGGAACCCCAAGAAAGGGTTGGATTTAGTAATGTTTCTCTTGGAGATGACAGAAAATATCACCTAAGCTGGTTTAAGGGGGATAAGAAAGACTGGGAATTTGTTTGCTCAAGTGGAACATTGAAAAGTCACAGGGGCCTGGCACGGTGGCTCACGACTATAGTTGCAGCATTTTGGGAGGCCGAAGTGAGAGGACTGCCTGAGCCCACGGGTTCGAGACCAGCCTGGGCAATTTGGCAAAACCTGGTCTCTACAATAAATAAAAAAATTAGCCGGGCGTGATGGTGCATGCCTATAGTTCCAGCTACTTGGAAGGCTGAGGCGGAGGGATCACCTGAACCCAGGAGTTTGAGGCTGCGGTGGCTGTGAGCATGCCACTGCACTCTAGCCTGGGCAAGAGTGAGAGATTCCAACTCAAAAAAAACAAAAAGAAAAATCACAATAAGTGGTACATGTTTTTATCCTCCCAGGCTAGAAGGCTACTTCAGATACAACTTGTTCCAGGGGCTCAGATAATGTTACTAGGATCCAATTCTTCTGTCTACCTCTCTCAGCTCCATTTTCTGTGTTAGCCCCATCATCAGGCAGACTTCTCTCTATTGGTGGCAAGATGGCTGCCAATAACCCCAGCCTTCTGTCCTTCTAGCCTGGGAGGATAAAAACATGTACCACTTATTGTGTTTCATTGACCTGGAAACTGTGGCTGGAGGAAAATCAGAGCCACATAGTTTTCCTGTAGCCATTTAGGCCCGAAGAATGGGCCACAACTGAGCCACATGTCACCCCCAAACAGCTATAGGGCACTGACCACAGAAAGGTGAGAGAAGATCCTCAGGGGAAATTGGGTTGCTGTTACCAAATGAGAAAATAGATACTGGCATTTGAAACACAGCAAATATTCACATCAGAGGTTTTCTCCTCTGCCAATGGGTACAGTATTCTTATTAGGGGAACCATTAGTGAAATGCAGAACTGATTGTGTTAGGAACCAAGTTGCAAATCCAAGGTCAGATAGCCCATTTTTCTGTTGGTTTTCTTACAACTTTTTCATAACCACTAGAAATGTGTTTGTCATCCAAAGTCATGGCCCCAAAGAGATAAGAGAAGGGCTATAGAAATAGAAAGAAATTATGAAGTATACCAATTCTGTTCCAAAAATTAAATCTCACGTGGAATCAGCTACTGCCTTTCTTAGAAATGCTGCTATCAAACCAAATTCAGGCAGCTTTGGTCATGATGTATTATTACAGGAGTCTGTTTCCCCCATGGGGTCAAAAACTGTGGCGCAATCCTATAATGTAAGCACATGCAATGTTGATAACTGACTCTGGCATAAGAATAAAGATAAAACTGACTTCCACAGGGAGATGACGTGCTGAGCTGTGGCAACAGATCTTGTGCAGAATCCGTCGGCAGGGACCACCTAGTGTCTCGGTTACAGGACCTTCAGCAGCAGGTTGGAATGGCCCGGAAGCTTCTCAGAAATGGTAAACTAGGTGAGGCTAGCCCCCTGCGTTTATTCTCCAGCCCCTTTTATTCATTCTGATATCACCTTGGAGTCAAGGATACTCAGTAATGATTGAAGAATTGAATTTAATTATCCCCATGCCAGCCACAAGATGGCTATATAGGCCAATGAGACCAAACCCTTACCAGCTCCCTTACTGAGGTGTCCTTGAAAAGGGGCCAGATGATTTAGGCTGTTACTTTCTTATGCATCAGATAGTTAAGTTAAAGTGCCCCTGACAACTACATGGCTATTTCTGATATCCATGAACTTTATGCAATTCCAGAAGTTTTGTGTCATGTATTTCAAATCCAGGGCTTAATGCTGTAACTTCCTAGAAAGGCTCTGCCTTCATCCCAGAGCCAGTCTCATAGAGAACAGTGTGGCATGTGCCCAGTGGATATAAGTATCCTGCTTTTTTCAGAAAGGAGTTGTAGAACTCCCCATTACCCTTGAAAACTGCCTTAGAGCTTGTCATTGTGGGAATTTATTTACCCTACTTTATGAAGGTTGACCTTTAGCTTAGATTTCAGGGCCAAGAGAAAGAATGACCGTAAATGGAATGTAGAGTTGGCTGTGTTGAAAAGCTGATGCGGGAAGCCCAGGGTAAATGTGGAAAGGCCTCACTTCACACCTTTTTTCTACTGAAAGAGAAAATGTAAGAGAACAACAGCGTTATGGGGACAGATGTTGCAGGTTGGTGACAACCCAGGAATAGAAAAAGAGGGGTTTCCACATTCAAGCCAGCTGATATAGAATTAGAAACTTGGATTCTCATTTCTAGGACTGAGTGTGTCTGTAGTGAGCCATCTTTCCTTTGACTCGATAGAGCAAGCCATTCAGCAGTTGCTGGAATGCCAGCATGATGCTAAGAGCTTCCTGTCAACAGAACACTCCATGGTGGGAGAAATCGAGGATGGCCTTGCCCAGGCCTATGCTGCCTTAGGTATGGAATGTGCTTTCATTTTCTGCTTGAGGAGCAAGTCTGTCTTGTGTGTTTCGTTGTGACCTTGGCCTTGTCTGGTTGGTTATGTCAGTCTTTTTTTTTTTGAGTTGGAGTCTCACTCTGTCACCCAGACTGGAGTGCAGTGGCCGCTCCCGGCCACCGCAGCCTCAACCTGCTGGGCTCTGGCGATCCTTCCGCCTCAGCCTTCCGAGTAGCCGGAATTACAGGCGCGCGCTACCACACCCGGCTGATTTTTGATTTATTGTAGAGATGAGGTCTCGCTGCCCAGGTAGGTCTCGAACCCGTGGACTCAGGCAGTCCATTCACCTCAGCTTCCCAAAGGCGCGGGATTACAGGCTGAGCCACCGAGCCCAGCTCTTTTTTTCTTTTTTAAGTTGGAGTCTCACTCTGTCGCTCAGACTGGAGTGCAATGGCACGCTCACAGCCACCACAGCCTCAACCTACTGGGCTTAGGCAATCCTTCCATCTCAGCCTTCCAAGTAGCTGGGACTACAGGCATGCACCACCACATCCCGCTAATTCTCTTATTTATTGTAGAGATGAAGTCTCGCCAAGTTGCCCAGGCTGGTCTCGAACCTGTAGACTCAGGCAATGCTTTCACCTCGACCTCCCAAAGTGCTGGAATTATAGGTGTAAGCCACCGCACCCAGCCATATGTCAGTCTTTAAACTAAGGCTGTGTGCTCTCTTTTCTATTCAGATTTCCTTGCCCTGAAGATGTTCATCCACAGTTGACTGTGGTTCTTTTCTAGAACAAGATTTTTCTTTTCTCACAGGGAACTGGCAAAAGTCAGCTATCCATCTACAGAAGAGTCTCCAAGTGGTTGAGGTTCGCCATGGGCCATCCAGTGTTGAAATGGGCCATGAGCTCTTCAAACTGGCCCAGATCTTTTTCAATGGGTAAGTCTTTCCCTTTTCCCAGCACTTTGCCAGGGCACATATATCTTTTTCTAGGTACTGCTGTGTATTACTTTTTTCCTGTGGTGCTTTTAAGCATATTGAAACTTCTTTATTTCCTCTTTAAGAGAGATCTTTGCCTTCTGTTTTGCTGAAAAATTGAAGGCTGTAGAATTTCCTACTAAAAGATATGGGGAAAGTTCTTAGATCTGAAGTGAGTTTCCCAAGGGAAACTTTCCAGGCAGCCCCACCCACAGCACAGCATTCCTTTTCATTCCTCTCTGGTTAATCACATCACCCTTGGTTCTATCATTGCCAGCACCCTCAACTTCAGGGTCTCTGGCTTCTCCCTAGTCTGCAACCTATTCCTTTTAAAGCATTTGTTTCAACCAGGGTGATTTTTGCCCCTGGACAACAATTGTCACCATCTGGAGACACCTTTTTTTTTTTTTTGAGTTGGAGTCTCACTCGGTCGCCCAGACTGGAGTGCAGTGGCCACTCCCGGCCACCGCAGCCTCAACCTGCTGGGCTCCGGCGATCCTTCCGCCTCAGC